TTCCAAAAATGGATATAAAGCATGTCCATGCATTGAATGCTTGAAATAAGATCTCTAACAGTTGTGCAAGCCATTAATTATGGAGTGCCTAAAAATTTTGAAGCCTGAAAAGTAGAGTTTATGTAGCATAGTTTGAATTTTGAAATTGGTTCATCACAAAATGACTTGTAAATCAAGGGATAAAACCTTAACTTTATCTCTTCGATTCTCCCTACTCAAAAATGATCTCAAGGAGTTCTAGGAAATTTTGGAAAGCTTTTAATGTTCTCTACAACCCATCTTTGAATTGCTTTTTAATATTCCCCTTGTAACTATATGGAAAAGTGCCATGAAGTTGGGTCAAAATCCTGACCAAATTAGGGCAAAATTTCACTGTGTTTTTGTTTCATGACCACATGTTCTTAAAATTATAACTTGAGATCCAAGTACTTTTGTAAGAAGTTGTGTGAAGAAAAGTTATATATTTCATGGAGATATACAACTTTCATGTTGGAAGTTTCTCTTGAATCATCTTGCATCATGGTGAAAAATTTGTTCAAAGTTGTGAAAAACATGAAATTTCCAACACTTAGAAAATTTTCTAAGTTTAGAAATTTTGACTTTTCAAAATGAAATCTTGACTTTTTGATTTCGTGATGAATAAGTTTCATATTTTGATAATTTTTGATGAATTGTGATCTTTGGCGTTAGATTTTGACCAAAAAGTCAAAGTTTGACTTTTTAGTATACAATTGAATTTTTGATCAGTTGATTGAAAATTCATCTCTCAATCCATTGGACTTGAGCAATGTTTTGAGCCATGTCATTAGGTAAAAATGATGCAATTGTACTCTTGAGATCATGTCTTACACCAATTGATCATTTTCTAGGTCAAAAATCAGAAATTGCCCTTTCCCAGTCAAGACCCTAATTTTGACCATTTTGCCCTTTTGGAGATTTGATCAAATTTCTTGAGGAATTTTGATTCAAACTTGACCAAATGATACATATGAGTTTAAAATGTTGATGTGGATCAAAAATTGTGAAGTTTGACTATGAATTGGCCATAGTTGACTTTTTCCCCAATACAGTTGATTTTTAGGTCAACTTCTCAATTGACTGAGCAAAAATGTGATCCAAGGATTGAAACTTGACATGAGTAATCTTGGGGGTACAGAATGATCCATGAAAGTCATATGGGGTATTCGAAGTTCAAAAATCCTTGTGCAATCTCAAACCCTAATTTGATCATTTGTGCTTAAGCAGGTGTCTTGAGCTGATAAAACCCTAGTGCAATCTTGAGCCCAAGGAGATCTTGTGAGAAATTTCTTAATAAGTGAGGGGAGAAATTTTGGGGTACAACGCCTTGTATTAATATTTCATATTTTATTTGATTTAATTTTCATTTAAATGAATAAAAATCCAAATAAAAGAAATAAAAATCATAAAAACCATTTGAATGAATTTAGAAGTCTAATATGAGATCATGAACACGCTTGAACCTGAAAAGTTAGGCCTATTATTCCAAATAATCAACTTTGCTCAATTTAGGTTTCATGCATTTTCTTAAAATTACTCAACTTGTACCAATCACAACTCTCTCAATTTTTTTCATATGAAGATGATCATGGACTTTTTGGAAACCTCAAGATGTCTCCTACAACTATCATGTTGGTCATTTTTTCATTTGAAGCCGTTAACTTGATGTAAATTGCTTTGACAAAAAAATGTCTTTTTGTTAACTTTTAAAATGACCTGTAATGTTTTGGCCCATATCTCTCAAATGAAGCATTTTTTGCCTTGAGCTTAGAGAGACAAAGTTGTAGAGAATTGAATTTTATTTAAGATAGGCTTTAATTATGGAATTTCTGATGAATTATGTGAAAGTTATGCTTGGTAAAAGTTCAGTTTACTTCTCCTAAAGAAAAACCTAATTTAGTAACTTTTGACTTTTGATGAATCTTGAGTTTTCTTGATGAATCATGATAAACCCTTGATCAAATGATGAATTTGAATTCAAAATATTGATTTTGACCAAAAATCTTGAAGTTTGACTGTAAATTAGTCAAAGTTGACTTTTTGTCCAATATTGTTGATTTTTAATCATCTGAGCAAAATTGTACTGCAAGGCTTGAAACTTGGTAAGCAGATACCTTGATACATATGAGAAACCATGGAGTCCATTTGAGGCATTAGAAGTTCAATTTCCTTTGAGAAAAACAAAACCCTAGTTTTAGGTCAATTGCTTAGGAGGAGAGTTTGTCTGGTCAACCCTTGAGTAGTCTTTAGTGTTTAAGACCTTCATGTGCATAATGAGGTATCTTGAATCATTTTATCTTGAAATTGGGAGGGAAAATTTTGGGGTACAACACTAAGTCAAACGGTTAGGATTAATCCCTCTCCTTTGTAGTCATGGTTCTTTGATTGCAGTCTATTTTTTCTTTATTTTGAATAAGATCCCTAACTTTTTTCCTAGACCGCCCTTTCGGGTTTTCAATCCACCGGGATAATTTTTTTTGTTTATGTCCCCAATTTTTTGGCTAGACTTCCCTTTCGGGTTTTCAATCATCCGGGATAATTTTTTTTGGTTATGTCCCTAATTTTTTCCTAGACCTCTCTTTCGGGCTTTCAATCCATCGAAATTCCCCTTTTTGCCTAAGTCGCCCGTTTAAGGTCCGAGCTCAGCGGGCTTTTTATATATAGTGTTTTTTACTGCATCAGAGTTCATCGGATGTGGCCGTTCTTCCCCATACATTGTTGTGAGGATAAGACCACCACCCGAAAGTTTTGTTTTTACCACCTACGAACCTTTGTAGCTGGGTGTCCATTTACCACGTGAATCAAGGTGATGCAGTAGAATCTTCTTGAGCACTAAATCTCCTTTTTTGAACACTCGAGGATGAACCTTCTTGTCAAATGCCTTTTTCATCCGCTTTTGGTATAACTGACCGTGGCACAGAGCTCTCAAGCATTTTTCTTCAATGAGGTTAAGATGATCTAGTTGAGTCTGAACCACTCTAATTCTTCAAGCTTTGTTTCCATTAGAACTCGTAGCGATGGAATCTCTGCTTCAACAGGGAGTACTGCCTCCATTCCATATACTAGAGAGAAAGGAGATGCACCTTGTAGTGATAAAAATGTAGCGGTGTAAATCAGAGGTCGAGCTATTAATTACTCGACTCACAAAAGCAAGAGTCGCCACTGTGCTTTATTATTTCCAAGGGAAAAGGGAAAAGAGCGAAATAAAACCCTTAAATATGCAATGTAAAATAATACTTACAAGTAATGAAAATAAAATGCGTTTTTCGAAAGAGATCTAAAGTTCGGGGGTTGGTTATGCAAAGGGAAGGTACTAGCACCCAATGCATCTGTGGTACTCTGCAGGAACCTTTTGAAATATCTGTTTTTGTTAAAAATTGCTTGTTTGGTTAAAGTGGTTTGTTTGGTCAAAATGGGTGTGAATGGGGCTTTGAAGATACGACGACCTAGTGTCGAAGTTTTGACTTAAAAGGTGCGAGTTTTAAAATTGAGTTCTTTTAGAAAACTTAACTTAATATTAACAAGATAGTAAAACAAAAACTAATGAAGGGATTCCCACAATCGTATTACATATATATTTGATGACATGAAGTCAATAAAACATTTCTCTTGGAATTGAGACGGACGAAAGACATAAAGATTAAACTATCGAGAATAAAGTTAATTAGTGCGACAATTGAATAATAACAAAAATTTATTAAGAGATTAATTTATAATCATGTATTTTTAAACAATTAAATAAATAACAAAAATTAAATAAAGACTAAATTATAATAGCACGTATTTTTGAATAGTTAAATAACAAAAATTAAATAAAAGATTAATTTATAATAGCAAGAAACAATTATATATAAAATAAACTTAAACTAATATTTGTGATCATATATTTAATAGAATATGGGGAGATAATACTAAAAGAATAAAATGTACCACTAAGTTTTGTTATTTATCTGTTAAATATATGTTTTAATTAAAATAAAGGTGATGATTGATAATGTGATTGGGCCAATAGGCCCATTGGACCGACCCGATTGGGAAAAGGCAAAGGGAGTTTTTGAAACCCTAAGTAATTAGGGAAAGGTGTCGCTGTTGTTGTCTATTAGGAAGAGAAATACAACAGATTAATTATTATTACTGTTAATGCCAACAAAAAACAATTTAAAAGAAAAAGTTGAAACAAAAAGCGATCCTCTCCTCTCTCATCCGTAGCACCATTATCACCACCAGAAGCCTTCTTGGTAGCAACCCTTTAGGTTCTTTCGCCTCCAATATAATCAACTGCGTAAGAATGGAATCCAGATCCTCTTTTACCTCAATAACATACTCTTTTTCGGAATACATCGACGGTTGTCTCCACTGCCTCAATCTCTCGCTCTCCCGGTCACGGTCATTAGGGTTTTGCAGCTTGCAAATGTTTGGGTGTTTATTAAGGTTATTTCGATTAGATGGGAGACCTTGAGCATTTGCTGCATGTTTCATCTCCTTCATCTTTTCCTTTTCTGGTACTCCATCAGGTAGATGTTTAACCACCCCATTTAGTAGTGAATGAACTCCAGCGACGTTAATGTTCTGTTGTGTTGAGTGATAAGTTGGCATAATCCATCAAATTGTTCCTTAGATCAGATACATCTTAGCACAAGACTCTCCAACTTGCATTGCTTCAACAAACGAGTAGTTTATGTATTGCACATAATATTCTGCAGTCTTAGACAACTCACAAGGCTGCCAAATTGTAGGCAATGGTAAGAAAGTTTGAATATTTACGATATGATTGAATTGTAAGTCCCACAAAACCAATATAGTTCAGTGTGCTGTCTATAACCTGTATGTCACCAATATGTCCTATAAAATTTGAGAGTAGTTCTTTCTCTATTGCTTCATCCAGACACTTTTGCACATGGGTCTCCCAATATAATTTTGCCGGTTGGTTGGTTGGATATGATTAATGAGATTAGGACATTGCAACTCAAACTTCTTCTGCCATGCTATATTTAGGTTCCAATCTCTGGAATGTTTTATCTTGTTTGTTGAGTCATTGTGCAAAAAATCTTCCTTACTTAAATCCTGGAATGGCAAGTGAAGTTGGAAATTATACAATCCAACAGGAGGTAAAATCGAGACTAAATCATCAATCAAATGTAATGGAAGTTCATATATATATCCGGAAGAATAGAAACAACAGTATCATCTCCAAGGACGAGTTTCCGTTTGAGTTGATCGATGCAGAGTGTGGTGAGGGACGGGGAACAGAGGCTAAGGTTTTATTATGAGTGGTAGAGAACGAAAGAGGGGTTGTGCGAAAGAGAAGAGGAATTGGAGGTATCACAAAGGATTTTATCTTTCTGTTATTCTGTATTTCTCTTACTATTTTTTTTGCAGGTGGATGTGAGTGCTTTTTAGGAAGGGGTTCATTCAATTCACATTAGAGGTTTATTTGGTTATAGTTTCTGGTTAAAACAGGTTATAACTTTTGGTGTTAATAAGTTTTGTTTTAATGAAGAAGATTATAACTTATATTAACAGGTTTTAGGTTTGGTGTTGACAGGTTGTAGCATATATAGAACATTTGTTCTGTTTTTATTATAACAAGTTGCAAAAACCAGTGATCCAAGCATGAAAATTACTATGAAAATAAATCTAGCAGACATGGATGTACATGTGAAAGAGTTATGTAGAAGTAATAGAGAGGAAGAAAAATACCAATCGGAGTCTCTCCGATGGAGCTTCAAAAACAGTAAGTTTTCCCTCTTTTAGAATTTGGTGATGCTCAATTCTTGCTGTGATTCTTTGTTGTGACTCTTGAACAAATTCCTCTCTTTTCTATTTTTCCTCTCCTTGAGTTTCTGTTTTTCCTCTCCTTGAGTTTTTCTTGTGTCCTACCCTTGAGTTTTTCTTGTGTCCTCTTTTTCTGTCCATGAAGATGGCTTTTATAGAGAAAGAACAAAGCATTTAGGGGGAAATTGTAGAATAACTGAATTGTTGTGAATGCTCTATTTTGATGTTTTTTTCATAAAATTTTAAGTTTCCATTTTGATGGAATTTCTTAGTTGTTATGATGCAGGGCAGCAGGTTGTAGCAGACTGGTCTAGGCTAATTTTTTAGCAGTTTTACAGCAGTTTTTGGACTATTACAAGCTACTGTTTTTTGGACTGATTTGTAGATTTTTGGCAAAATCTGAACTATTTTGCTGGTTACTGTTTTGGACAGCAAAATACCACAAAAATTGGACTGTTATTTGTTAAAATAACGCTAGAAAATATGGGCAGCATGTTTGAAGCATGAAGCTTTAGGACATTAGAATTTTAGTCTTGGTTTTTATGTACAAACTTGTAATTCCTCTTGTAACTTTATAGTGATAATTCCAAATAAAATTGTAACATGAATAAAAACTTCTCTTGAATATAATTCACTAAATTCCTTTGTAATTGTAAACATTTTGAATCTTTATATTCATCTTGATGAAATTCGAAATCTTCCACTTGAATTTGGAAAGGAATTGATTGATACTTGAATGAATTTTTGAATGATGAATAAACAATGATGCAAGCCTTAAGACCTCAATCTTGCATCTTGTATTAGAGATCCCAATGAATTACATGAATTGATCTTGTAATGAAGTTGTAACCATCATGTATTCGTTCTTGTGATGAATGATTATTTGAATCAAGTTTCTCTTTTCAATATCTCCTTTAATAAATGCCTCATGTGAATTCAAAAGGCCATGGTGTGAATCCATCAAAATAATCACACAAAAATAATCTTGAATAAATATTAATGTGACAAACGATTATTCTTGAATGAGTCCTTTCGATAACTTCTTTTTAATTAACACTTGAATTCACATGACGAAAATTCCAAGTATTCAAAATAAATTCTTCCAAAGAGATCTTGAATTCAATCACTCCACTCTAACGAAATTCACCCCATGTCATGTAAGTATAAGAAGTCGAACCATACTTAAAACTTCAAATGATCAATAGAAGAGGGATTTGAGGCAAAATGTTATCTCCTTGAGAAATTGGCACAGTGAACTGAACTTAGAGATCCAGAAAATCTTAAATCATGACAAACGTCCCATAAAGTTCTCTCATGGCTTTCTAAACACAATTTGTCTTCAACTTTTAAAGAAAACTTGTAGATGACTTTTGGTCGAAGTGTTTGGAATTGACTCGCATAGCCTGGTCTTTTCTTGTATTTCAAGGTAAGGTGAAACACACGTGAACCAATGATCATGGAACTTTGACTGTTTTTATGAAGATTTTCGGAGACGCTTAAGGCCATCTGTTGGACAGAGCATGGAAATAAACACACAATTCTCTAAAAGTTCCCTTGATGAATCAGTCTTTGAGAATCAACAATCAATCTTACTTATGGCTTGAGAGACTCAAAACCCTAATTGAGGCGTGACGCCTGATGCTCTTGATTTAGACTTGTTTTTGCACATGAAATCAAAGAAACAAAAAACATACACTTCGTGCTTGATTAGAAGTTAGTCATGCATAATATAAAATGTTAACAATACTCGATAATCTCTGCACAGGCAATTCTCGAAGGCGAAACGTTTGAAACCGACCATATTTCGTGGCCTTGATGTATATAACAAAAAACACAAAATGAAGATGGGATCTTAGTTCAAAAATTGGGGTATGACACACTTGTTGACGTACATATGGAAGTACGATAGCCATGTAGAGCGAAGGGGAGCATTTCATGCCAATCTTTGCATGTCTTCACCATTTTTTGAATGATTTTCTTGATATTCTTATTGACAGCTTCAATGGCTCCATTTATCTTGGGTCGATATGGTGAGGAATTATGATATTCAATCTTGAAGTCATCACATAAATCTTTCATCATTTTTTTGTTCAAGTTGTACCCATTGTCAGTAATAATCCTGCTAGGAACCCTATATCTTCATATAAGGTTTTTCTTGATGAACCGAGTAACCACTTGTCTTGTCACATATGCGTAGGGCGCAAATTCAACCCACTTGGTGAAGTAATCGATGGCCACTAGTATGAACTGGTGCACGTTAGAGACTTTTGGTTCGATCATTCCTATCATATCAAATCCCCACATCAAAAATGGCCAAGGAGAGCTTAGGACATTCAGAGGAGTCGGTGGCACATGCATTTTTTCAGCATATATTTGGCATTTGTGACATGTCTTTGTATAATGGTAGCAATCCGCTTCCATTGTCATATAGTAATAACCTTCTTGCAAGATCTTTCTCGCCATGGCATGTCTATTTGTATGAGTTCCAAAGGTTCCTTCATGGATTACTCTCATAAGTGTATCGGCTTCATAATTCTCCATGCACTTGAGCAACACAATATCGTAGTTTTGTTTTTACAACACTTCACCATTTAGAAAAAACTTTGAATCTAGCTTCCGCAGAGTTCGCTTGTCAATCGTAGAGGCATTTTCTGGATATTCTTGCTTCTCGAGATACCTCTTGATATCGTAGAACAAAGGCTTGTTATCTAGTCATTCCTCAATGGCAAGGCAATGTGCAGGTTCTTTAAAATGTTTGATTGTAATTCATGGTTCGCGGTTTGGCCAAGTTACATTGAATATGGCCGATAAATTTTCTAAGGCGCCTTCCATCTGATTTTCTTCTGCGGAATATGAGTGAAGGTAATCTCAATAATTCTATAGTTAGATTTAAAACATGATCCCAATATGGAATCAATTTGGGATGTTTAGTGTCTCATTCACCGTTGACTTGGTATATTACTAATGTTGAGTCTCCATATACTCCGAGATGTTTAATTCTTAGATCAATAGTAGCTTCTAGACCCAAGATACAAGCTTCATATTCAGTGATATTATTGGTGTAGTCAAAACATAACCTTGCAGTATAAGGTTTATGAAATTTCTTTGGGGAAGTTAACACCGCCCCAATACCATGCCCTAGTGCATTTGAAGCACCGTCAAACATGAGTGTCCAACGTGCCCCTGGTTCAGGTCCTTTGTGGGATCCTGGTATTTCAGAGTCATCTATGAACATGACATCTTTGTCTATAAAGTCAAACTTCATTGGTTGATATTCCCGTAATGACTGATGATATAGATGATCGATTAGTACACTTGTTGCACCCCAAAATTTACCTTCTCGTTTAGGCTTATGTTCCATAATAATCATCATATTGCAATGCATTCATTTCTTTGTGTTGGGATCAAGGTGTTTTGGCTATCAAGTTCTCCTCAAGTTGTGGAAGTTCATTATATTGATAATTGGTTCAAGAAGAGCCTCATTACCTCAATCACTGGATGTTTCAAGTCCTATTAATCTCTCATGGACTAGAATATCTCATTTGTCTCATTGGTTTATCAAGAGTTGAAGTTATGCAAGGTTTTGAAGAAACTCATTTGTCTCCATCATTTGTGGAAATTAGGGTTTTAACCTATTGTGTGATTTGATGTTTGTCCAGGACAATTTATTGGAGCTTTATCTTCTTATTATCATTTGAGTAAACGTCTTTCAAAGAATTGCTCCAGAGGTCCAGTGGAATTAGGGTTATGAAGTTTGATCATCATGCTTCTAACACAGGGTGCAAAATTAGGGTTTTGATTTTAATTAGGAGTTCTTCAACTTTTTGATTAAAATTGGATTCCATGTATTTCTATATGTTATTGATCATCTTTTATTGAAAGATTTAGGTTAGATTTTGATTGGAAAGGATTCAATTGATCACAAGGTGGAAAATTATCAGTTTGGTCAAAACCAATCAGAGTGAAAGTTGACCAAGTAGACTTTTGGTCAACCATCATTTTAAACATCCTCATTTCATGTTTAATAACCAAATTCATCATTGAATCAAAGGAATTTAAGAAATTAGGGTTTACTTGTTCATAAAGTTACTTGAATATTTGAAAAGTTTCTAAGTGTCCATAATACACAATTTTGGCCAATCACAATTTGAGTATGGTTAATCTGATTGAGGCAAATGATACATATTTAGAAAGCTTGAGAAAAATCCTAATAGTTTTTCGATGAGGGCCAAAATCTCAAAATTTAACTATTTAAGAGAAAATTAAGTTAAAAGTTATATCTATGAAGAGATGCCAAGTTGCTTTGTCATTGACCAATCATGCATGTATTTTGATCAAACACATGGTGTGCCAAATGTAGAAGCATCAATATGAAAATCTAATAAAAGCATCTTGTAGTTTTCAATGAGAACTGATTATTAAGCTTTGGATCACTCAAAATGGCTAAAAATTGAGAAAGATTTGGATTCTTGAAGTTGGTACGTTGAGCTGATTAAACATACCCCATGCATGCCCATGCACGCACGCTGACTTTGCCCAGCCAGTCACATTTTTTTATCAACTTCTCTCCATCATATCTCCATCATTTCAACTCCAAATTGAGAAATTTAAAACACCATTATCAT